TTTTTGTATTAGACCCGTCGTCCATTTATTTGTAAGTCAATGGATATTATACACTATTTTTAACAAAAAAAAATGACCTCAAAAGTTTGAGGAATTACATCTGTTTGCCAAGTTTTATTCAAATCGGTTAAAGGAAATTGGGTTCAATCCAATAAGTCGGATTCATCCCCTAATTTGCCAGCCTTTGGCTGTCTTTCCACCAGAGATGTGCAAGGTAGCGAGGCGGTACGAGGATGTGTTATGGACTCTTTCATCGAGTATATTACCATAAATAGAGACTTTTGTTCGAAACACGAAACGACGACGAAAACCGACGTATTCAATAGGTGCTTTACATAAACCAATGATTTTTTAAAATATCAACTGTACTAAATAGAACAACGTATAGTATAGATATATTTTTTTTCAAATGGCAATGGAAATAATACGAATAAAGTCGGTATCCAGTACGTCACAAAGCTCTTAAGGTATTCCATTGTTTTTTTCTTCCGTGGAGTCAAGCGAGTGGTCTACACACACACATACAAACCACGCTGATCAATCAATACGTATCAACGTTTGCATCCCGATGCAAATCACGTCACTGCAGAGCCGGGGCTCTACTGGGCACTACGTCAGTGGTTAGCGTAGACGAGACTTTAGAAAGTATCGTTGTTATATATAAAGTGTGTTTGTGAGGGTAGACTCTCGCCGACGCCGACTGCACCCGCAGCTGTACAGTGATCGGGCTGGTAGGGCTTTAACGAGCAATTTCCGTCGAGTTTCGACGCGGAATCTCACGATTAAGGACCACGAATTGGATCGAAACATGTCCAGCAAAAATTCGAGTTAAATACGTGAGTTATCCGTTATTTTTAGTTAATATGTCTGTCTCGCGGTGGTTTTCTATCTAAATTTACACTATTTGTTTTAGTATTTTTAATATTAGCCATGTCGGTTCTGCCATTAGTCTGCCACTTCTCTCTCGTTTTATAAGTCGTCCTTATTTGTTCTTCAGGTCTCACATTGGGTGACTACGTGAAATGGGAGGAATGGTGGTACAAGTACCAAGAGTGGTTGAAGCGTGAGCGAGCCTACGAGAGATGGGCTGACGCTGATCAAGGCACCGTGAGTGTTTTTATTTTTATTGTAATGGTACTAGAGAACATTATTTTAGAACAATACAAAGGAAAAACATCCCAGGAGGACATACTTACATTGACCAGCAGCTCCATTTTGATTGTCTCTCCCGATCGGAAACTTCCGAGTCGAGGCGCATAATTGCGATTCACAACTAGCCGATCGGAAACTTTTGACATTTCTAATCGAAACAATAGTTGATTAAGAGGGAGCAGAGGAAAAATTCCTAATCTTCGATTTAATTTTAGAAGGGTATATCCACTTTAAAGTAAAAAATAAAATATTGTATGAGAGTAACTACACGATATATTCAAGCATAGACATTAATCAGTAACATAAAACAATAAAGTTTCCTCGATAGATAAAAATCACGAAATGACCTCTAATTTTCACATTTTTTCGATTTATCCTCGAAATGCTACAGGTTATTAGGACAAAAATTAGATAATTAATTATATTTATGCATGATCGACAACTGTCATTACGGATTTTTTTTTAATCCCTTTAGTTTTAGAGTTATTCCGCTAAAACGAATTTGGTAGTTTTAATGCGCAAAACTCAACATCTCCTGTCGCATGTCACGCGCACTTCAGGCATATATTTGTTTCACAAATTTGGGCGGAGCCAACGTCAAAACTTTTTTGGCATGAGAGCTCTTAAGGCACTGCTCAAATGGAGCAACTTTGATCATCGAGTTTCGGGAACTGGCAATACGCAACTAGCTGTTTATATGACGTTTTTCATATAATTTCAAGAAACTGCGCAGACGCAGCAAATTAAGTTGAGAGTTTCGGCAATCGACTACAGTTTTCGATTGCCTAAATCCGTGATTAAATAAATTCTTAATTGCCGCAACTAGAAACTTGCAAATTTGTGCCGGTTGTCTCCAGTTGCCAGTTTCCGCAACCGGCAACCGCAACTCGTGAAGCAACTTCATTCCCTCCTCGTCTCCAGCGCCAGTCTTGACCGTGGATTTCGAAAGTTTATTTAAAATTGCAGCAACCGGTAACTAGGCCATTTAGTTGCTACAACTGGCAACCGTTAAAGGAAACTTGTAAAAGGTTGCCAGTTGCGTCAACTAAAGTTGCTCCACCTGCGGAGCGCCTTAACTCACAAATTAGAAAGATATAGTAGGAATCAGGTTCATCTTCTTGCTCAGAAATCCATCTGATTTCCAGACTCGGATGGGCTACCCGATCGGGTCGATCCCGATTTGTATTAAAATCAGGACGCAGATCAACAATGTCCCCAAAAGTCCGAAGTGACAACATTAATCACAGTACAGAGTACTAAAAAACCGACCTCAAAAGTCATTCATCCCCTAGTTTACCACCCTTAAAGGTGAAATATTTTCTTCAAATTGAAATGGGACCACATCTGAGGTACCCTCTTTCCAACAAAAAAAGAATCATCTAAATCGGTCCACAAATAAAACTTATCGCGTAACATACTTACAAAAAAGAAACATACAGTCGAATAGAATACCTCCTCCTTTATTTTTTAAGTCGGTTAATAAAATAAGTTATATGAAAAGGTAGTTGATATACGTGAGACTCGAAAGTTGTGCTAGGATAAAGTGCCGTTCCGTGGTCTTTTCCTACCCCTCATTTGGACTAGGGCGTGAGATTAAGTATATATGTATGTACAGAGGAAAAACGTCAAACATCAAATATGCACTCCAACGACAACTTATAAAAAAAAAATATCTTACTTTTTTAATGAGGTAACTTCATACCTTATCCACCTAGGAAAAAAATAAAAATAGTGACAGATAAGCCCTGGTTTACTGATCACGATAGTGTGCATAACAATTCTTTTTTAAATGTCACGTGCGCCCATAGAGTATATAACCTGAAATAGAGACGAAATAAGGGCCATCCATCCCTTGCAACTCATCAGGCAAATGGGTCTTATATCACTTTTAAGTATCAACTCTAGTTTGCGCCGAAATCACAAATTAGAAAGCTGAAATAGTACAACGCCAATAAGTGGCCTGTGTATACGTCTCCGTATATTCCAAAAATATTAAGTATTTATTATAACAAAGTTAATATCTCTTACAATGGGGGGCTGTTCTATTCGGTGGTGTGGGAAAAACAGCAAAACATCTTATTACAAAACAAACGGAATCACATTTCATCGATAATTAAATATTAAATATGTAATTTTTCAATTGTCGTCCATTATGGCAAATCTCTAGTTAAACTCGTCGATTTGAAGTTATAACAATTGACGACACCCGTCAATTGTTTCAAATTCGGGCTGGCCAATCGGAGCGCAGTTGTCACCGTAATAATTTGGCGGAATAGTTTTCAAACAAATTACATGACATTTTGTCTCTATTTCTGGTTATATACTCGACGCATGCGCCCTTTCAACTAACGGCAGCAGTGTACACAGCATTCAGAAACAAGAAAATATAAATTGTGTGATTTTGTAAATGAGATAAAATAAAAGAAAAAAGAAGGCAAAAACTGTAGTTCTAGTATCAGTAGAGCTTGTGAAAGAGCTCGTACAGAGATGTACTGCCAATTTACCTATTTCAGTAATGTGAGCATGACTGCGTTCCGGTTTTGACGGGTAAGGGGTGCTGGTGAAATTACAGGCACACGGGACTAGTCAACTTATGTGTCAGGGTGACGGATTCCGTGACAGTGCTCTGAGTGTCACTGCAACTGTCACGGATAGGCGTGTCGCTTACCACCAGGCGCACGACTTATCAATGAAAAAAAAACAACTTTCAAGCGATAGCTCCGGTTTGGCGAGGTCCCTGGTTGGAGTCCAGCCGAGTCGAAGGAATTTTCCTTCGTGCTTGTTCTTATCTTATCTTATGTAACGACGGTGAGGATTGGAATAAAAGCTATTTTCCTCAGCAGATCCGGCGCGAGCGTCGCCGGCGAGGGGGCCGCCACCGGCGCAGCTGAGGCCACGCCGCCCCCGCGGCCGTCCTACAGGTGGACCTGGCCGAGGGGGCGCCCCGCCTTTAAATGGTGTGGCACTCTCATGCCGACGCGTTTGCGCATTGTAAGTTATTTCTTTATTTTCATGACCACGAGAAAGCCCAGACTTATTTGGGTATTCATAGTACAATTAATTCCCCAGTTTTTGAGACCAGGACCCCGATGCAGAACTCTTCGATATCTTAACGATATCCTTCTCGAATCGAATGGCGCTTTCTGAGCTATTCAGAATATTCGATTCGGATACGATATCGTTATCCAACAGCGTTTATGGAGTTAGTCGGCGAATAGACTATAAGAAAAATGAAATCCTTTCATATACTAAAACTAAAGTCCTGTTGCGAACGCAACAATTTTTGTAATTTTAACATAATTTCCAAAGCAGTAACAAAACGCTGCTCGTCAAGTGCACATTACGTAGGCCTATTTTGAACCAATCGAGTAACACCACATATGTCTTTTTCATCCCTACCACATTTGTAACGAATTTTGTACGTAACTAAAAAGGTCAAAAGGACCGTTCACTTTTAAAACTGTACCCCTTCAGAAACTATCACTGTATCGATTTAACGGCACTACTCCTGTAACTAACCAGTCACCTATTTTAAAATATAACAGTTAACTAAAATCGTCTTTAATTTTACGAGTCGTCGAGCTCCTGATCGTCATCTACTTTGGGTCTGGCGGCTACAAGTCCTAAAATATAGGAATGCATTAGGCTTGCATTAAAACAAGTTAATAAAATTGAAGAAAATACAGATTTTATTTAAAATAACAAAAGATTTTCATATTACATTCCTGCTTTGTAAACAATAGGACGTTTGGTAACTTTCATTCGAAAGCTGTGTTCTGAATAACGTTTGTAGCCTTTGCCGGTCGAGAAGTACGAGTAATCGTACGGGTGTGACGTCATTTCGATTCGGTTTCGAATACGACAATTTGACTTTCGATTCGGTTATTGTGAAGTACTAAAAAAGCCGACTTCAAAAGTACGTGGAATTACGTCTATTTGCTAAGTTTTATTGAAATATCCCCTAGTTCGCCACTATACAGGACTTGACAGTGGAGATAATAAAAATCGGTTCTCACTACTCAAAGTATATTGAGTGAGAAAAACGCCTTGAATTGGAGAAATAGCAAAATCAACCATTAAAATAATTGCTCCTAAATTAAAGTTAGGCGCTATTTATAAAAATGAATTTTCATGCGTGAACAGCCACCCTTAAAGGTGGATGATTTTCTTCAAAATGAAATGGGACCACTATGGAAGTACCCCCTTCCAATAAAAAAAGAATCATGAAAATCGGTTCACTAATACCGTAGTTATCGCGTAACATACATACAAAAAAAGAACATACAGTCGAATTGAGAACCTCCTCCTTTTTTGAAGTCAATTAAAAATTGAATCGGTCAACAACAGAGTTATCGTATGGTTCTGAATCGACCTGCTGTGGTTGCTTCTTAACTAACGCCTTATCGGCTGGTGCACAGAACAATAAATACTATAGAAGTGCTTACTTAGTTTTGCGTGGTACGTGTGCCAACAGTACGTGGAGTTCCGCAAACTTGAGCTCAGTCCATGATTTACTATATATAATATAAATTAAATGACATTTCGTCTCTATTTCTGGTTATATACTCGATGCATATGATGAATGCTATATTTGCTTGTTTTAAATATAATTCTTTCTTTTTTTCAGGTGTTAACAGCAGTGCATTCTAGACTTTCAAACGTTAATCGGGTGATAAAAACAGACATTTATTTACTTCTGCTTTGTGCAATTATAATCAAAAACATATTATGGTTTTCGTCGCTTCATTCTTTAAGTATAATTTAATTTACCACGTACTCTTTATCATTATAAATTTGTCTATAATAATTAGATTATTTTTTGTGAAAATGACAAAATAGCCACGGACATAAGATCTCGACCCCAAGTCTGGTAATCATAAATCGTCTCTGTTGTGTGTAGACAGAGTGTCAATTGCTGGATTTGGTACGTTAAGTATTCTGCTAAAAGTTAAAAGTACACAACAAAGTAAGTCAACTGCATTGCAATTTTTTGGTATTCTGCTCTTCAATAGCATAGTATGTTAGTATTATATATCGACCCATCCTACGTTAAGTATCGTATGTCGATATATTTAATTTAAAGATAAATTACTGAATAAAGCAGAAAAAAATTAAGATATGCTTAGTAATGTCTATGGTAGTTTTAGTAGGGCAACATCGATCGTTAGTGATTCAATTAATGAATGCCTTCTCCGCCATTCCACTGACACTCAATGAGACTCAACTGTCATTGTATTGCAACTAGATTTTAGCAGAATCGTCGCCTTATTTTCTCCAACTCGTACCTTAAGGCAAAAAGTTACTGAAATGCAAAAAATGTGTTGTATATCGACTCCTCATACGTAAAGTATCGTATGTCGACATTGACTTACAAATAAATGGACGACGGGTCTAATACCAAAACCACGAAAAAAATGTCCCAAGTCAACCTATTTAAACGTAGTGACATGTAAAGGAATATGAAAAAGCTAAAACGTTGAATTTAAATTGTAATGTCATCGCAGTACTGTCTAATTTTGCTTGCTTCGCTGTCAGTCGAACAAACGAAGACTAAAGCGTGAATGACGCTCTGTATACGATTTTAACGCCCTATAAGTTCGGACACTTTTTAGCGCGGACCCGACGTCCATATAATTGTAAGTCAATGTATGTCGAAATTGCCAAGTTTACAGGGGAGCGTTTTAAAGTTCTGAATTCACTGAAAGGATCACCATAGATCATCTAACCAAAATCTAGGATTTTATAATACTCTATGTGAGTAATGAGCTTTGCCGAATAAAACTGAGAAATGCTAAAGTCACGTGTTATGTTCGTTTCAGTGAATTCAGAACTTTAAAACGCTTCCCTGTAAACTTGGCAATTTCGACATACGATACTTTACGTCGGAGGGGTCGATATACAAATGTTGCAGGCTGGTTTCACAACACGTTTCCTTCATATTCACTCACTGGCCTTTGCCTATTCTTAAAGTAATGCATACAAATTCACAGCCTTGATAAGAAATTTAAAATAAATATTGTTATATCCCAACTGAAATCCGTATAAAACGGACCAGACTTGCCGTCGGTATCCTTTTCTTCAATAAAATTCCGACGTAAATCTTCTGATTTATTGAAAACTTAGGAAGACTGTATACAATTCCATAAAACTTACTCGAACAGCTTATTTCTATGTCCATCTGACTTACCGAATAAGAATATCGAATATAACTGAATGCAATTACAATTACGAATGAATATTACAATAAATCTTACTTATATCCGGTGTCTCCCACA